TTCTATCCTACTTTAAAGCCATAATTAATGCTTATTTAATTTTCTGCTTAATTGATTAATTCTAAACCTGAACCACAATAGGACAAGCAAGGCCACTTACAGATGCTTTCAGCCCAACCATCAGGGAGCTTAGTTTAATAATTACTGTACAATTTATATTTAGCTAGGGATGGACCATGGAATCACACACAGCTTTCTCAGGTAAGCTGAGAGGTCCATGGGTGCAGACTTTCTTTATGAATAACTGATATTCTGGGGACTGATTTTCCTTATTTCTATTTTGCCTGCTTAGTACCCAATGGCGAAGTGGCTGGTTGGGCAGGTGTTATTCTGCGTCTACTTTAATTTTTCACATTAAATGTAATCTTTTAAATTTCAATTACAGGCACCTGCCCAGCCTGTCATGCAGAAAGAACACTCTAAATTATTAAATGTGCCTTGGGTGGGGAGTCAGCGCATCTTCATTCAATATTAGATTTATTCTAATTATCCTCTAGAGCTCAGAAAATTAGGGAGTAACTGCAGGAGTAAATATGAGAGTCAGGTGGAAACACAAATATAACTCAGTGGAATGTGTGATAAATGTGAAACAAAACTACCATCAATTTATATTTATAAGTCAGGTCTCTAAGTTATCTAAAGCTCTGGAAGAGGAGGACCATCTAGGAATATAGAAGTGGTATTTTGTTTTCTTTTCTGAGGCTAACGAGCCCGGCAGATCCACAGCTTCCCTGTCTGGGCTGGGGTTTGGAGTCCGGGCTACTGCTCTTTGTTCTTTTTGCTCAGGTGGTCTGGATGGGTACGAGGTCCGTGCAGACCCGGTGGTATGGCTCCCTGCCTGCCCACGTGACCCTCCCACTGTAAAGACAGAAGAGAGGAGCTGAAGGATCCCAGCCCCTCACCCTTACACAGCCAATTTTCCTCTTAAGAGAAGATCCGGGAACTTCTTAGCACTCCTGGAAGGAAGACAATGTTGTTCAATTGACATTAGAATAAAACTCCATGATCATTTTCAGGACTGAGGACTTTGTGTCTCAAGAGACCTTCCCAGTTGTTTACTATCTCCATGATTTCCCCCAAGGTTCTCCTGGCCATTCATTAGCTAAAACAAAGAGTAACGTGAATTACTCATGATTTTTTTCCTTTCTTTATTTTTCCCTGGACATGTTATCTATGTTTTTTTTAATCAACTTATTGAGGTATAATTTATAGACAATAAAATGCACTCATTTAAAGTACAGAATTCAATGAGCTTTGATAGATATATACATCTGGGTAACCATCACTACAATGAAGGCATCAAACATTTCCATCGCCCCAAAGGTGTTGGTATGGAGTCAGTTCCCACCACCCCAACCCCCAGGAAACCACTGGCCTCATTTCCATCACTGCAGATAAGTGCTGCTGGTTCTAGAACTTTGCAGAAATGGAATCATTCAATAAGAACTCTTTTGTCTGAGGCTTCTTTCACTTAGCATAATGCTTTTGGTATTCATCCACACTCTTGTATGTACTGACAATTTGTTATTTTTCATTGCTAAGTAGTATTCCATTGCATGGTAAACTGGAGGTTTGCCCATTTGCCTGTTGATTGACTCTTGTCTCTAATCTGTGGTCCTATGACTAACACTGCTGAGAACATTTGTGTACAGATCTTGTAGCCCTGCTTTCATCTCTCTAGGGCAAGTATATAGAAGTGGAATCACTGTCAAGAGATGTTTTCTTTTCTAAAATTAAAATGGTAAGAAGACCTCATTGTCTAACAGAGTTCAAATCGCCTTATTTGCAAGTGAAGATGAGGAAGATAAGTCATGAAGTAGCTCACACTGGGAAGGGCACGTGGGCTTCTCCGGGCCAAGTGCGACCCTCTTGGGGTCCCTCACATAGGGAAGCGGCTGAAAGGAAAATTAAGAGGTGACAGCTGGTTGGGCTGTCGGGAGACAGCCAGGTGTACAGCAGTGAAGCCTCCGCATTTGAACAATTGGGTTGATTTACAGGAACTAGTATAAAGGACACATGACAACAACTAAAAGGGTAGAAATGGGAGGGAGGTGGGGAGCACTGAGGGGGTAGCTGAAATGGGAGTAAAAGACAGAAAACTGTACTTGAACAACAATTAAATTAAAAAAAAAAAAAAACCCAATTGGGTGGAGAACTACACTCTGAGTGGGCCCAGGGCCACAAGTCTTGGACTATTCCAGCTTTGCAAATGCTATTCTGACACTCAGCCGTGAGTTGCTGAGATAAGGGGAGAGTGTGGTGAAGGGCCTGGCAAAAATTAATAATGTGCAACAAATCATCAGCATTACATATGAGGATTTAAATATAAATCCTTACGTAAAGGAGTCATTTCTTTAATGTTCTAGTTGTTTTCTCCATGGCCCCGGCTGGATTAAATAAGCTATCATCAACTAAGTGGATATCAAATGTAAATAATGTCTCACCATGTCTTTCTTCTCTGCAACTAAACACTTACATCCCAGAGGGGATTTTTCCATTCAACATCAAAGAAAGATTAAACATTTCGTGTAGGATCTTAAAAATGACTGTGTAATTTTATTTTACATATATATATATATATGCAAGATAACAAACAAACAAACAAAAACTTCTCTGGGTGCTGAAAATCTGGAGTCAAGGCTTCCAAAAGCCAAAAGAATGGGGGAAATAATAACCACTTCATGGTTCATCACCAAATTAGTCTCCTGTCTCAGAATTGCATGATTAAGCTATGTGATCACTAATCACCTTGTAGTTGCTCACCATTCATGTAATCAATCATCTACTCAAAGTTTACATTTTCGTAGTTCTAAGTCTCTCTTTTCAATTTAATATTTAAGAAAAACAGAATTAAAAAACACAAATTTACAGAGAGGAGTAAATAAAGGAAACGTTCAAAGTATTTTACAAGGAAACTGGCCCAGCTAAAAGTACTGTGTATGTTTGGATCTTACGGCTTATTATGGACATCTGAGTAGTGTTTCCTTATGGCTCACGCCCTGTGGCAGGGCTGTGGGAGGAGGAATTCAGCCTCTGTCATTCACAATAATTATCCTAGAGACACATGAAGAATCTCCGCCTTATGAAAGTTCAATTACTGGACATGCTTGTGTTTCTTGCAAATCGTTGCTCCTACCTACCACCTCCAAATACACACTCAATGGCAATGGAAAGGGTGCTGCTCTGGTGAGCACCGGTAGGCTGGAGCGAATTCCTCAATGTCTTGGCTTCTCACCTATAAAACTAGTAGTGAGTATTGTACTTTTTGTCCTTGAGCCCAGAGGCTGGGCCCAGACGTCCTGACCCTGTACTGTCCATTCCACACCTTGTTCTAAGGCTTCCTCTTCACGGACGGTGCTGGCCCTGCCCTCCCGCAGAGCAATAGATCATCCCTCTCGGGTGTTAGGCAGTGGCCCCTCAGTTTCATATTCTCAAAAGGAAAAGCTCATGGAATATTACCATGCTTCCAAATTCTTCTTGTGGAAAATAACAAATAATATATTAAAGAAATACCTGTAAAAAATTGTTTAAGGTACAAATCCATCTGATATATGTATTTGTTTGTTATTTGTTACCAGATGGCGGCCATGAGACCATTTTAAAAGTGGGCAAATGCCAACCTAAGGAGCATCCAGTGCCAGTTTTTTTACAGCTGGAGGAGGCCACACAAGCTCTAACAGCTCAATTAGGAAGGCATCAAGTGCAAATCTGGGCTGAGATGACCAGCCAAGCCAACTTTTCACTACCTTCATTCTCACTTTAAGAAGAGAACTCAACTGCTGCCAGAGAGAGTGGCTGGCCCATCATGCAGCTGTGAGGATACACTTCCCAGACCTCCAACTATAAGGATCACACTTGGCCAAGGGCCCGGCAGCCGCATTCTCTCAGCAGCTACTGCACCTCCCCACGGGCTACTACAGCAGAGGTACGAAATCAGGCCTCTGATGGCTGACTTTGCTTAAGGACTGCCTGATGCCTTGGCTGCCTTTGTCTGCCTAAGCAGACTAGTACATACCATGGAACTTCCTCTTGGAAGTTTGGAATAAACTGGAATCATGGCCTGATGGTTCTCTCAGCCTTTTGCAGCTCCTTTCCTATCTCCTTTCATGCAAACATTTCCCCTAATTATATCTTTGCATTTTTAGTCACACCTTGGCACCTGCTTCCCAGGGGTCCAGACCAACCTTCATTCATTCATTCATTCATTCATTCATCCACGTATTCATTCATTCAAGAAATATTTACTGAGTATCTACAATGTCCTAGGCACTGGAGAGAGAGGTGCAAGATTGAGAGGGCCCCTACTTTCATAACCGTCCCCCTTCAGAGTCACAAACTGCTTCGCTTTCCTCGGCTTTTACCGTGCTGGGCACTGGGCTCAGAGCACCTCACGTGGGAGTCTCATTGGTTTTCCACAACCACCCTTGAAGGGGGCGTTATTTTTGTTTCATGGGTAAGTGGAGATTAAGTTGCTAGGGGCTTCCCTGACAGCCTGCGTTTTTACTCCCAAACCCATGCTTTTCAGTCATTAGGATATGATGCACCTCCCCTACCGGGCGCCGGCTCTGAGCACACTTGTTTTCTGGCAATGACCACACATCCACATAATTGATTTTTCAAAGCCTGACTTCATTTCTTCACTTGGAGTTTGTGGGGGCCAGGAACACCATTTACAGAAGGGAGAAGCAGGGCTTCACAGCATTCGCAGTTCTATCCCGTTCCACAGTCAGGTTAATGACCGCATGATTCAACCCATGCAGAAAAGGTCCTTCACCTGATGTGAGTTTCTAACTCAGCTTCACTAAGAAAATAAGACCGTCTAAGCCCTTGGTTTCTCTGTTTTTCATCCTGGTCACAGCCCAGCTCTGACAAACAGATGGAAGGTGGTTACATACTTCCAGGGCTTCTCTCAGAGGCCAGCCAGGCCTGCTGCAGGACCAGCTACACCAACCCACATGTCAGCTGAAAGCACCCTTCTGAATGCTGATGCAAACTCCTACCATGATCTCCAAGGTCAATTATGGTGTCCTCTACACTTGACTCGAACACACCGAGGTCCAGGCAAGGAATGGGCTGAGACTCAGGCGGGTTCTCCGAAGTCGGGTCATCGGATGCCTTGCGGAAGGTAATTAACAGTTCATGACAAACATAAAAGTAAACAGGGCTGCCACAAGTAAAACAATATTCTTCTTTAGAAATCTATTTGAAAGCAAAAGCCTACCTAATCTTCTCCCTTAAACATGTTAACATTTTCAAATTTCAAGGCAGCAGCCTGGGATAAGAGACACTGCCTTGAATAAATGGGGCAAACCATTTTAACCTCCCCTGGCCTGTTTCGGGGCCATGACCAGGGTGGGGCATGTAGGATGCCCAGGGTGCAAAACTGAAGGAGACGCTGACTTTCAGGCTCATGTAAGAGCCAGATCGATCGGCAGCTGAGAACGAGCGCCTCCTTCGAATCTGCGCCCAGGGCATCGCACTTACCCCCCCTCCCCCAGCCCAGCCCTGCTCAGTTTCCTCATCTCAAGATTAGAGGCATGGATTTAGATGCCCTCCAAATTCTCACCTAGCCTTAAAAGTTCTATGACTTCATAAATTCAAATTTCCTAAAAAAGATCTACAAGGACACATGAAAAAACTCATACTTCAAAAAAAGTTAAATTTCTCAAGCATGTCAATAGGTATTTCAATAAATCATTTTGCTTTTTTTTAGTTGTGGGTGTGTGTTTACAACATAGAGCTAATGCTGAATCGAATCATTTTCCACGACATGTGGCCTTCTTGGAGAACTTCCAAGAATGTCTTCTTATTAAAAAAGAAAGAAAAGTTTGAACGAATCTTAAATGAATAAATAAAAGCCATGACACACTGTGATGCTGCATTTGTGAAAATACTATCGTAAAACATTTTTGAGAAGCCCATTTGTTGTATGTACTGTGTAATCATTGCTGCATGAGGTGACAGTGATCTCACAGGTGAAGGACCAGTGACAGCACACAGAGAACTCTGAGAACGAAGAACGGAGACTGCATGAAATGTGCACTTCAGAAATTACTGGGGAAAAAGTACGTGGACTCTCAATAGACTTTGATTTGCTGAGGTTCGCTTTGAAGAGAGGAGATAGCATTGTGATCGTTGTTTCTCTCAGAAAGAGAAAGACTTGGTCTCCCTTTGATCTGCATCACTATCGATATTTCACGTATGGAGACCTGATCTGCTATGCATTTTCCACGGACACCCACTTCTAATACCTTCAGAACCGTATATGCCACAGGATAAGAAAAAAAAAAGACTGGGCTTGTGTGTGTGCTGGTATCTAGTTGTTTTCAAGCTACCATCCTTTAAAGAAACAGTGTCTAATATGATTCCACATTCAACTCTGCTTCAAGATTTCAAAGTCCAAATTCAGACAAGCAGAAAATGACTGCACAAATAAAAGACCCTGTTATTTAGGTTGTGAAAAACAAAACACGCCAGTCTCCTAAGTGCCTCCAAGTTTTTTATAACGAGTTTGAGAGGTGACACAGGCAGCCCATTCTCTCCCCTGATTCTACCTCCTACAACTGCTTTTGAAATATGAAGTGGTTTCCTTCAGCTGGCAAGAGAGAAGAAAGAAGCAGCCCCAAGAGGTTAGGAAGACATCAAATCACAAATGTGTGGATGGGCAAAGATAGGAACATTTTCCTCTTCCTTCCTTTTCTCCTTTATCACCTTTTTCTTTAGCATCTTGCATCAGATTAGTTCAATTTCTTTCTTGGATTTTACATTTTTCAGCTCAATAATAACTTTCCTTGAGTGTTTAAAACCCTTCAATCCTTAAGCAAAGTGTTCAGCTTTCCATTTTTCTGCCTCTTTTGTTCTCTGAATGTCATTACACCTGCCTCACTCCTGTGCCTAGGAATGAGTAAACTTGCTTCTTCGCATGACCTCCTCCCATGATCCTCCTCCGGAGGCGAACAAGGAAGCCTTCCCTCAGGTCACTCCTTCTTTCCTTTCTTTCCCATTAAATGCTTCATTTCCTAAAGAGATTGTGAGAAGGTCTAGTCTGGGTGGCTTTTTCCTTCATCTGAAGGTGATCTTTTGCTTTCAAGTGCCCCAATTTCTGTCCACTGTGGTCCTGGACCAGTAGCATGAGAACCACCAGGAAGCTGCTTGCAGCTTGATGCAGCATCCCAGGTCCCCTCCAAAACAGACCCAATCAGAATCTGCATTTTCATAAGACAGACCAAAAGGTGATTTTGAAGTTTGAGAAGTGTTGCTATAAGCCATAAGAATTTGGAGGACAGCCAGTTAATTGTGGACCTGAGAGGTCAAAAAAGGTTTTCCTGTGGAGAAGGTGGCATTTGAAAGAGGGGAGATGGGATGCTATCAGTGGGCCAGAGGGAAATGCTTGATGTGATTGCTCAAAAGAGGACAAGAGATGGGGGGGGGTGGTGTGCTAAGAAACCCCTTCTGCAGAACTGAAACCACTAGAAGAGGATATTATTTTCAAGAGCCACATACCTGCCCCCATCATATGCAAACTTAAGAAACATGCTTCTGGAAAGTTCAGGGCCCAAGATCAAGTTGGTGATGCTAAATCTTAGAAGATCAAAGAATGCACTGACATCTTGCCAAGACAGCATCAGGCGCTTCCCCTTTTGCTCCCTTTGTTCCTACCTGATGGAAAGGGGGTGGCATCGGAAAGAACTGGGTACAAAATGTGGAGTCAGGATTGCACAGACTCTTTGTGAAACTCTCTTTGTCCAGGTTGGGCCAAGAACTGCACTCTCTGCCTGGCCCTGTGTTCTAGGGGATGAGACACAGCTAACAAAATCCGAGACGGCCTGCGTTATGGTCTGAGTCTTAAGTTATGTGAAGAGCCCCCCAATGACCCTGGTTTATAGGCAGGACAAGGTCTAATGCAATGTAGTTGTTTAACATTGATGATAATCACGTCGGAAGTGAAAAAGAACACAAAAACAATTATTTTCAAGGGTCAGTACAGAAAAGCAAAAAAGTTCCATAAATTATCTGACACTATAATGTAAGATGGCTCTTAAAACTACATTTTTATTTGCTATATGATAACTTCAAGAATAAAGAAAGTTAGTTTTTCCTTTTAAAATTGGGGTAACATTGGTTAACAATATTATATAATATGAGGGATATAAGACTGTAATTCAATATCTGTGTACTCTACAAATACTAGCACATCTGTACTCCTAAATATCTAATCTTAGGGGGTAAAATCACTTAGAAGCAAGGGTTCCTGCACATTTCATAAAAAAAAGTCCCACTTTCAATCAGCTGGTTGAACAAGCAGTTTACACATATTAACAAAAACAGAATTCTTATGTCAGACTCCTTGTGAAGACCTGTGGAAATTTGCAGTTCTCAGACTTGTGGGGAAGAAAGCCAATAGGCGCAGGAAAGAAAACCCACCTTTACAAGTTGTTTCAGGGACTAGAAAGGGTCTGGGGAGCTAGAGAAAGGCACGTAAGAGGTCAGCGGGGCATCCGGTGGTGGCATCAAAACCCTCCTCTAGGCAGGGACCCAGCACTACTGCTGACCACATGCCTGTCCAGCCCACACTTTCCCCATTCGCCAGGTTTCCCACCTCCCACGGGACCTGGGACCTGCAACAGGACCCACGGCTGGCTTCAGTGAATGGAGTGGGAGTTCGGTAGAAAATGGGGGGTGGGGAAAATGGTGGGTGGCATATCACCAACATCCCAAACTCTCTGCAAAAGGGCCCAACAGAGGGAGACTCTTAAGGTCAGAAAAGGCTGGATCCAACTTTGGTTTTCAGAATTCTAAAGTACTCGCAACCACAGAGTCACTGACAAAGGCAAAAAGCCTGTCAGAGGGAGGCACAGAACAAGTGTTCCTGGGCTGTGCCTGGCTGAGAGGGAGCGCTGCTGGGTGCTCCTGTGCAGCCCAGAGTTTGCAGCCCTGGGATGGCTGAGTCACAGCAGCAGGAGCACCCTCACACTGCAGGGACCACCCCCACAGCCTCAGGGGACTCGGCTCTTCCTGCCAAAGGGAGGAGTCTCCTTCAGATGCAGGGATCTCTGATGAATGAGCAAACAGAATGTGAGACAATTAGGTTCTCCATAAAAATGACTCTTTTCCAAAATGCTTTTACCAGAAGTGCTAGTGTTATACCCAGCTAGGAAAATTACAGCTAGGGCATTACCCAACCCAAATCTGCAGTTCCTGGAACAGGGTAATGAACAAACATCAGGGAACAACTGGGTTTAAAATTCTAGCCAAATAAGGTAACTAACCCGGCCCGCCAGAAAGTGCCCTCCAGCAGCAGCACCCACCAATCAGGGACCCTCGCGGTTTTTAAATAAGCCAATAGCTAACCGCCACCTCTGCTTCTGTATGCCTTTGCTTGCTTGCTAAAAAATATAAATACCCAGTAGTCTGTAAGCCAGGCGCGACTTCCATTTTGTAGCTCTGAGTAGCTACGTGACTCCGGTCACAGTTGGGGAAGTTCGCCCCTGCGCAGGAAAATCTTTGGCCATTAAAATTTTTATCAATTCGGTTCCGGACTCCGAGAGTGTGTATTTACCCACCGATCGTCTACAACACTAGGAGCTAATGTTGGTATCTACTGTTCAAATATGACCCCGAACAAAGGTGGCCTTAAGAATCAGAGCCTATGCCAAGTCCAATTTTTAACCATTAAAGAAAATGGTATTTGCTCTCCAGGGTCTTAGGATACAGAGGACAGACACCTGACGTTCATTTCATGTGAATATGCAACCCTATTTTTAATTGGGTGTCCATGGTAATTCTTCAAAGTTTGAATGGGATTATTAACACAAGATATAATATAGATGGAAGACAAAATAAAAAGGTAAAGAACAAAAAAATAAGTCAAAAAGAGAACAGTGGACTAAAGAGAAAAACCAACAATAGCATGGCTGAAATTCAAAATTAGATGTACACAAATTTGTTCTGCAAAGCCACAATTTTAACTCATCAATTGTTCACTCAGTGCTGATTATTTTGTAGGTCCTCAGTATTTGTTGGATGAATCAATGGCTCAACCCCTAAGTGTAGCTGCTTTGAATTAGTGTGGTCATCAGCTGCTGGCCTATATTTGAAAAGGAACATCTTCCCTGGAATTGGACAAAGTTGGCCTGGATGCTTTTTTTCCCTACCTTGCCCCTTTCCCTACCCAACTGGCCTCATGAATTTGAAAAAATCTGAAGCAAGAAAAGGCTTTATGTAAAGTATAAAATAAGAGTACTTACATGGAGTACATCAACAGTTAGCTGCTGAAAGTTCCAAGATCTTGATTCTTGCATTTGTTTGTTGTTTTCTTCATATTTTTCTTCAATAAGCTTTCTGCAAATTTAAAACAAATGCAGAAAAATAGCTGCAATTTGCTGAAAACACATCTATATTATATAGGTAAGTGTGAACCATTTCAACAGGAGAACTGGGGTGTTGGAAGCCAGGCCAATGAGGATTCCTCTCGTGAGGACGTGTGTGCAGTGCAGCCCCCACTGGCTTCTCCTTTAAAGTACACACAAGGATGCTGGCTCCTTTCTCTTCCTTAGAACTCCTAAAATGCAGAAGAATACAGGACTGACCCTGTGTGTTCTCTGACTGTAATGTCGGGGTTGGGGAAGGAGTGTCCCTGATGCCTAGCACATACTCGATAACTGCTTTTGGGGTGAAATAAACACATTTAAACAAGGATATGCAGCATCATTTCAAATTATGGAAAAGAATATGAGACTCACTGTGGAGGGGAATTTTTCTCAGACACATTTTCCTTATTCTCTCTACTACAGGAGAGTCAAATTTAATCTATTACTAAACTGAAGGACAGATTTGAGTTCCTGTGATTCCTTGTGTGCTGATTTATACTTAGATTGCTTTGAAAAGTCACTGAACATCCCCGTGGTCAAATTTTGTTGTCTATAAAATGGGTACATTATAATCCTTCTGACAACTGATCCATTTTCTAGTTAAAACATGTGACCACTCTTGAATCCTAGAAATAACAATGAAAAACAATCCCAATGCAAGTTGTTCATAAAATCAAGAACAGAAGTTATTTAAAAGGCATCAACTTTAAACAAGAAAATATGTCATGTAGAAGAGCTATATGATTTTCTTTTGTGTACAAAAATCTGAAAAAATAATTTGTAATATGGATGTATAATTAAATAGCCCCTTTAATCTGTTCCTAGTAGAGACTTAATTTTCTCTTTACCCTCAACCAATGACATGAATCATGATAACCTGGATGTATTGCCATTTCTGAGGTGATATAAATAGATTTGGGATGTGAGTTGATTCAAGGGCTCGAACAATTTATGTGAATATGTTTTCTCAGTAAAACCCACACTCAGTGGTGGTGCTTTGCAGAAACCAACTTGCACTGGCTCTCACGAGAAGACTGTGCACGTACCTCCCCAACTGAACAGTCCATGATAATCACACTGGTAGCTTAAAATTGGCTGCAATGGGAATCTTTCCACCACAGAAATCGGCAAACAAATCAGCAGTCGCTCCCCACCCCACTCACCTCACCAGCTCAGAGGTGGTGGTTACGCATCTACCAGCACACCACCACCCGTGAGCACTTTGAAGAAAGTCTTTTTCCACATTTATGAAAGAAAACATGTCTTAAGGGAAAAACAGTCTCTTGTTGGTTCATTATTGACAGACCTAGGCAGGCCTAGGAGGAATGGAAAATCACCAGGCGGGAAACTGCACCGTGGGAAACCGGCTGCCAATGTACCCAGGACAAATAGATGCTCGGCTAAGACTGGGGTCTGGGGTCAGCCTATCCGATATAACAGGATGCAGCTTTAACCCGAGGCTGACAAGATGCATGAAGAACAATGGTCAGCAGAAATGGCACCCAGCTCTAGCCAATCAGACTCTGACACCCCAACCAGCTACCCTTCACGGAGTTTTGCACTTAAAATCCCTGCCCTAAGAACAACCAAGAGAATCTTAACCTCCCTTGGTTGGCCCCCCAACCTCCCTTGGTTGGCTCCACTTCCCCTTACTCCCCACTAATAAACTCGCTCCTTGGCTCACTGTGTCCATCTGGTTTCTTGAGCGACTCCAGCCTAAACGGTCATGATATTCATCATAAGTACAAGGATATGTCTAAATCATTTTTCAGATACATTGAAAAGCTCACAAAATGAACATATTTTAAGTTTTGGGTTTCTGTATCTCCTTAGTTCTTGGTTGGGGCTTCTAAGCTACCAAAACATTGGCAGTAGAAGAAAGAAGAAAAAAAATTAGGAAATTGGATAACCTCCCAAATGGAAAATTGGTCTTGAGAAACTGGGACTCCGAGGCTTCGGAACGTCCCCTTTCCATGTCAATTCTCTATTACGGGCAGTGTTTCCCAGCAGCCCTGCCCGGAGCCTGGACACGTTTCACAGGGCTTCACCGGACAGAACAGAGCTGTTTCCAAACTGCTTCCTAAGGCCAACAATTTCCTGCCAGAACCTTCTTCTCTCTGCAGACCAGTCAGGTCTCCTGGCAGAGGGGATGCAGCAAACACCTAGAGAATAAAGGCAGACCTTGGGGTCACCCTTTTCACCCTCACTCTGGTTCAGAAGGTGTCAGCAACAGCAAGGTTCCACTTGGAGGCTGATGATATTTTCATTACTCGTAACCACGCTGATAGTCAGGCTTCCTTTTCACACAAGACTGAGAGCCTAATGTGATTAGTCCCTACAATCCAATCACCATCTAAGGCTCAATAACCATCTTTTGAGGGAACAAGTGAATGAATAAACGGATACATGTATAACGAGTACATGCATCTTGTTTTCTTGTTTTGGCTGTGCTCTTCCTCAGTAAACCCCTTCAGAGCCCTGGGAAACGTCCAAAGGGCTGGGGGGCCGGGGAAGGGCAGCTCACTTCATCGTCCCGGTGGCTTTCTCATCAACCGCCTGGAGCTTCCTCAGCCGCATCCTTTCCCTCGGTGTCATTTTCTGCACTTCAGAGAGCGCCCGCGGAGTCTGTGGGTGGATCTGTTTTTGTCTAGAGAAAATAAAGATTCCCCACACAGAGCACATCCCAGACATGCTCAGAGAAATGAAAAAAATATTTTACAGAAGTATCATTATACTACTGAGGAGGGAAAAGCATCTCGAGACAGGCCAGGCAAAAACTAATAAAGTCTGGGTAGGTAATGAGCCAACCAGGACTGGTTAATTGGCAATATTTTTCAAATTAGATTTTTGTTTAAAAGCAAATTATGTACTTTCCAAATTTCTGCTCATTTCATTGCTTATAACTGACTTTCATAAAGTAAGACAAATTAGGATTCTGGCTATTAATAAGTAAATAGACAGGCAGACAAATTCAACCATGTGGATAGAACACAATCTTTGGAGATAGGCAGGGTGTGAATCTGATGGGCACCCTCATTGATTCGGTCTGTAGCCTTGGGCAAGTTACTGACCCTCTCTGAACCTCAGTTTCCTCATCCATAAAGAATGGGTGTATAGTGAGTATTATATGAGATAATGTACAATGTCTGACACATAAGACGTATCCCAGATGATGGCATTATAACAGCTAACATTTTCTATGTCTTAGATTCTAAGCCGAATACAGTAGGCACTTCTGTGACAGCATGGCATAGTGGTGAACTGTACCAGTTAATAAGATTCTCTGGGTTCAAATCTTTTACACCCTTGGAAAAGTTACTTAACATCTTTATAATCATTAAAATATAAATAGTACCCACTGCATAGGTTTTTTTCAAGTTTAAATGAGTGAATTAATGAAAAATGCTCATAACAGATGGTCATTACCCCCAAAATGTTAGCCAATATTATATAAAGAGGCTTTTTCTTTAAACAAATACGCTTACACTAATCGTGTATTGAAAGGTCTACAACCACATTCTCAGTGACATTTGTTTCTGTGCCTGACGTGGCTAGAGCCCAATACTACGAACACAGTAAGAAGTGTGATGATGAAATTGTAATGATCATTTAGGCAGGTCCCATCCCTCCAGAACACCATTTAGACCAGAGCCTCCAAGGGACGTGCAATTTCTAGAAATATACACCCCTTATTTTGTAAGACCAAATAACTCTCCTTAAAGCATAGTCACAGGTCTTGAAAATAACAGTAACGATCTGAAGTCAATATATCACAATGTGAAATACCACCCAAACAACTGGATTCTAGCACACTTTGTGAACGGTGTTTCATAATTACAGTGCAAAATGATAACAAAAATCAGTCCAGTATTTTAAAAATAAGTCATCTACTGCTCTCATGTCTCCAATCAATAGGACAAAGTAAAATTAAGAATATCCAGGCTTTCTTTAAAAAATAGGCAAGGTTATCGGAGCATGCCTGTAATGTATCCCACTAAAGTACGTTTACTTTAACTGGAGATCATGTGTTAAACAAAGCCTGAATATCTTTGATGGACCAGCTTCCTCCTCTTAAAATGCGAAGATAGAAAACAAACCGCTGGACTGGGTATTAGGGGAGTGTATTTGTGCTATTTGGCCTTGAAGATGAGGCTAATGAGGGCCACTGTTCTCCCCCACAGCCTTGCACAGCTCTGGGCGGGGGCTGCCATTCTCACTGGGCCCTAATAAAACTAAATAGAGAGGTCCCTCAGCCAAATTATAAACTTGGTCTTCATAATTAGTGCCCCCTGCCCCAGAGTTGCTCAGCACACAGCCAGCACAGCCGTACCTGTCTGTTCGGAAGTTACCTAGTGTTCTGGGCTCTTGTAAGTTACAGCTCAGAAATTCTGTGAGGTGGGAGACAGAAGCGAGGCCAATAAATTATGGTTCTTCTGACACACACATTCTCCAGTTCTTAGATTTATCTCAAGAAAGTGAACTTTGGCTTAGTACTTTCCATTGTTCCAGGACTGCACAATGTGGTCTTTTTAATAGATACCCTGACAGTTCCTGTTAAATAAACAACATGTGAAATCCACGTATGCTTAACATGGAAAGTACGTTGGCACACGGACCACTAAATGTTTGAGATACTAATCTCTCTATAAACTTACAAGGCAGCTGCAGAGCTACCCTACAGATCTGTACACTGTGCGGTGGTTTAAACTTTTGTGATTTCAATTTTCTTCACCTGAGGCAAAGGGCTTTGGAATGCCAAGCTGCTGAAGTGCCTGAATTTCTTGGCAAGACATATAAGTATGAGGACGCTCCACGCAGTCAGCTTAGCACTGAGATTTTAAAAGACAAATGCATTTACTACTTACGCTCAATGAGCTTTTTAAAAACAAAGTAACTACTTACATGGCATTAATTATATGAGCAGCTTCCTTCTGGCAATTCAAATTCTTGTCTTCTGGAGTCATTTCTGAGTATCTACGCATCAGGTGCTGGAAAAAAAAGGCTCCTCTTCAGGGATGGAAGGGCACAAACCACCTGGTGCCTTTTCTAATTTGCACTAATACTGACTATATCTGGGAGTTTGAAACCAAAACCTACTGGTAGCTATTTTCCCTTCTATAAAGGGCTATAAGACATTGCACGGTAGCTTATGCAACCAGATCCTGAGGGGTCAGGCTCCTGCCTACCTCTCCAAGTTCATCTTGCACTGCCTGTTCCCTCGCTCCCTGCCACCCAGGCAATAATAGGCCTTCCTTCAGCTCCAAGGTCACACAAGCTCTCTTCCCCTCTGGTTCTGTAGTGGGCAAAGTCCACATCCCAGGACCAGAACTAGGGTGGGGTGAGTGAGGCTGGCTACTTCTCACCACGTCACTGGTGTCAAAATGTCTCCTACTCCTCCTGTGACCACCAAACCCCGCCCCCTCCCTTATTTCACAGCATCCTATTTGCTTTCTTCCTAGTGCTTGTGAGAACTTAAAATTACTTTACTTGCTTCCCTTTCCTTGGTTACTGGGTTCTCTAACTAGCAGTGAAGCTTTCGAAGGACAGGAGCCATAGGAGGTCCCTTCATTCCCGCACCCTGGTGGCAGCACAGTGCCCGCACTCAGCCACTGAATGCACAGCAGCTCGCGCCCTGCGTCCTGTGCACTGAGAGCCAGACTCTGATGAAAAGGCATGTGCATTTTTAAAGGGGAATGAGTGCTCTGCAGCCCTCTTAAAGATGTTCATAACATCAAAAGAAGTTTCCCTGAGGAATTTATATTGTAAAAGCCTAAGAAGTTTAAAAAACAAAACCAAAGCTCTAACTGGTGTAGCTTAGTTGGTTGGGAGTTGACCCACAGATTGAAAAGTAGTTGGTTTGATTCCAGATCAGGTCACAGGCCCGGGTGGCAGGCCGGGTCCCCCATCAGGGCATGCGCAAGAGGCAACTGATCGATACTCCTCTTGCATCGATGTTTCTCTCCCTCCCTTTCCCTCTCTCTACAAATGAATAAATAAATCTTAAAACAACAACCAACAACAACAAAACCTCCTTGAGAGGGTACCATTTGATTATTTTCTTACCACCAAGGGAAAAATTCTCTACATCAAATTTTCCAATTTACAGAAAAACAAAATGAATTCACCTACTCAATAAAAAGTATTATTGAGATATATAATAAAGGAGTAGAATAGTACAGACTTAGTGAAAACCCAGATTTTGTTATATGTAGCATCACATTCTGTCCTAGCAGGAATATATTTACGAAGTGTTGCGGTGAGATCTGGGAACCAAAGGCCCTGAGGATGGATGCTGAGTTTAGGCAGAAAATCCCAATCCTAACACCTCAAGCACCAGGGAACGAGAGTTCACGCACTTTCTTGTGCAAGGAGATCGTCCCGACTAATAGTTTTCCTCAGTTTAAAAAAATACCCTGTCTCTCTGTTTTTACTGATTCTTAATGGATCTTATTCTCACAGCATATCTTCAAGTCCTAGAACATATATAAATGCTAATCGCTACGTGTTTCCCAGCACCCCTTTCATTTTAAATACCTGTAGCTGTTCATCAATGTAAGGGATTTTTAAAATTTCTATAGCAGATGGTCTCAGTAAAGGATTCTTGTTCAACATGCTGTAATGTGTAAAAAGAAAATGATTTTTTAGGCAAACAAAAACTTAAGTACGATTTAAAACTGTGTCTGTGGTAATACATTATTTCCATACCGTTCCATGATGGCATTCAGTTCTCTTGGGTATCTCCGAGGGAGAGAAGGAGTGTTGCCTTCAACAATTTTTAAAACAACGGACAGGAAACTGGAGCCAGGGAATGCATGATTCATGCAGCACACCTCATATAAAATGCACGCCAGAGACCTGCAGACAAAGTCAAAGAATTTGAATAAGGAGCGAGTGTCCTCTTTGATCATCACACAAAACCTCAAACGGGCTGGGGCACTTGCTGTAAGGCATCAACATGCACTTCAGTTGTTTGTTTAGAAGCCTCAGTTTCATTACATTCTGCTCCATTTAAATGCACGCTCACTAAAAGGAAAGTGGAAGAGGAAAGCACACGATCTAAGTTTGAATGGTCACCTTTCGTCAAAGGTGGCAAACAAACCAATAGCAATATATGCACACAGTAGGGACCCAATAAATATTTGATCAATGTAGGAAGGAATTTATGAATTAATCTCTATGAAGAAAAAATAAAATGCAGCAAAATATCTTTCTAAGGCATGTTTTATATGCAGAATAAAATTTTAATGTATCAGCCTAACCTTCCCTCTAATATGTACTCAACTATTTTGAACAGGGAACACATTATTTATTTCTTAAAATAAAATCCATTTGCAAGTAGGGTGGAAAAACAGTTACTTTCAGCTCACATGAAATGTATAATTCTTTCTTCAGGGGTATGAAATAGAATATTAAAATTCTAGATAACTCCAATACTAATTGTATTAACTATGCAAATCAGTCTTCTAAACCAGCAGAATAATCTTGCAAGTAACTCTACATCATTAAGAAAACAAAAGGGAGAATTCCTGCCTGCACTTAGTATTAAGAACTGTACTTCTCCTGAATAATGGATTACTCTTCGTCTTATGGGTATTCTGAATTATGTAACTGGCCAGGTTTCCCTTTTCATGTGACTTGCTTAAAAGATCAGAAATAAATTTACAATTGATCTTAAGTAAGTTGTGTTTTACATAACTTTTAACAATGTTCTACTTTCTCAGAAGGAAAGGTATGGGTAAATACATACGTGACTACTATCATTTTAACCTTTTCGTGTGTGTTCACAGAAAGGTACATTTGTAAGAAAACATATGCTAAGAATGTTTCTGTTCCAGTAAATAGTAATAAATTTTATTTACTATAATTTGGAAACTAAAAATTTCCGATTGATTAATACTTTATATATTACAAAGAACTTTCATATATGTCTCAACAGAACCTCATAATTTCACAGTAATTTCCCATTTTATACATGAGAAAGTAGCTCAGGAAAATTAAATCACTTGACCAGTTTCAAAAGGCATTTTTCTTTCCAAATTCTGGACTATTTCCACTACCGAATACTAGAATAAAGAGGAATGTGAGGAGGAATCGTGTGATATTGACTAGAACACCAAGATCGATGTAAACATTATAAAATATGAACATTATTTGAAGCTCACTAAATTTTGCATTCACCTGTAAGACTGTGAAATGGTGTCTGGTACAGTAACACATACTTAGATTTTGATACCAAAAAAACTCCCTTCAATGAAGGTGAACCAAAGACATTTTTAGACAAACAGAAACTGAGAGAATTCCTTGCCAGCAGGACAGCACTAAAGACTACCCTAAAGGGGAGTGCTTCCAAAGGAGGAAAAATGGTCTTGGGCACAGGAAGGAATGAAGAGCATTAGGAGGAATAATTTTGTAAATATGCATAGGTCAACATTAATCTAAAAAGCAATATTAACAATATGTTGCAGAGTTTAAAAATTATGTAGAATAAAATTTCATGGAAAAATAATACAAAAGACCTAAAAATTAAAAACATAAGTATTTTAAGGCCCTAATATTATTGAGAATGTTGTAAAATTAATAGCTTTTACTAGACTGTAATAAGTCAGGATGTGCGTTATAATTCCTAGGGCTTATCACCAGAAGAATGATAAAATAATATATTAACTGACATTAATTATATTAATGTATAATAACTAATAATGGATTCTAGAGAGAACAGAAAAACTACAAATACAATTTTAAATCAAAAGAAAGCAAGAAAGGGGGGAAAACACAAAACAAGTGGTGTATATATAGAAAGCAAGGAATAAGATGACAAACAAAAATACAGAATACTTGTATTAAATATAAAATAGACAACATTTCGATTATAAAGACTATTGAGGTAAAAAATTAGATATACTCACAAAACAAACCTCACACTAAAAACGCAGAGCTGCTCATAGAAAAGGACAGACCATGCGGATGCTCGTCAAAATACTGTGGTGTAGGCATAACAGTATCAGGCAAAGCAGACTTAAGGGCAAGAACCACTAGTAAAGTTAAGACGGTGGATAATAATATAAAACCATCTTAAAATCCAGTTAAGAGTGTGTGTGTGTGTGTGTGTGTGTGTGTGTGTGTGAAGCCAAAATTGGCAGAGTTAAGAGAAAACCCAGACAAATTCACAATCATAAAGACTTTGCTATGCTTATTTCAACATCTGATAGAATAAGCAGACCAAATAAATAAACATAGAGAAAATCCGAACATAATGACCAAAACTGACTTAACTGACAAATTAACATTAATGAATCCCATCAAAGACAGAATTCATATTATTTTCAAGGTCACACAGATAGCATTTTCCAAAACTGACCCTAGTCAGGGTCATAAAGCAAGACTCAACAGGCTTTAAGGACTGAAAACTTCAGAGCCTGTTCTCTGACCACAGTGAAATTAAGTTAGACATTAATCACAGAAGGAGAAAAAAAAAAACTTACAGAATCTTCAACTGCTTAAAAACAACAAATACACATCTAAATAACCCCTAGGTGAAATAAAAACATTCCAACAGAAGTTATAACATTGCTAACATTGTTAATAAAGGTACAAAATATTAACATATTGCATGTGGCTAAAATAAATTATTATAGCAAAACTAAAAGTATTAAATGCATATATTAGCAAAGAAAAAGGCTTTTAAACATCTATGATTTCAGTCAGCTTGAGAAAATAGAAAAATAACAGAAAATCAAACCATATATATTTTTTAAGATTTTATTTATTTATTTATAGAGGGGAAGGAGAGAGGGAGAGAAACATCAATGTATGGTTGCCTTTTGTGCATCCCCTGCTGGAAACTGGCCTGCAACCCAGGCATGTGCCCTGACTGGGAATTGAACCGGATTCTCTGGTTTGCAGGCCCACACTCTATCCACTGAGCTACACCAGCCAGGAAACCAAATATATTTTAAGGAAAAAAATTTAAATGGAAAATGAAAATAATTGAAATAGAAACAAATAGACAATAAAAATAAAATCTGTCAAGACTAGTAAATTGAATAGAGCTCCAGCAAGACGGATCAAGAAAACAAGAAGAATAGGTGGAGACACTGTGCTTCCTCACACAACCAAGTTTAGAGACAACTAAATAATAACAACAGAAAACACAGCCAGAACACAGAAAATTGAACTTTTCGGAAGTCTGATAACAACAAATTCTTCAGCCTGATCAGTAAGAGGGGCGAAACCAACAGCTGGCAGAGCAGGGTAGCACAGGAAAACTCGGTCAGACAGACTCAGGTGTGCGGAATCCAGGTGCAGGGTTGGACCTGGTGGGCAACTCAGCAAGCAATCGCGGGGAAATAGCGAGGGAGCAGGGCTGCGGGTTGACTGTGGTCGCGCATTCGTGCAGATAGACAAGCGAGGGAGTGGGAGATTGGACAGAGCCAGCAGCCCCAGCAGCGTGCAGCGGAGGGCGCCGCCATTTCCCTGCTCTGACCCCACCTCCACATACAGCGTCATAATCCAGTGACCTAAGTGGCCCTGCGCCAGTAAACAACCTAAGGCTCTGCTCTTCACCCAGCTTCGAGAAACAGCAGAGGGGGCTGCCATTTCCCCGCTCTGACCACGCCCCCACATACAGCGTCACAACCCAGCGACCTGGGAGTCCAAGGCTCCGCTCCTCACACTTAATGGGAGCAAATAGACCAAAAATGGCTCAAGAAGATCTCAAAGCCCCAGAGCCTATAAATCTAAGCGATGAAGAAATAGCAAAACTCTCAGACGCACAGTTTAAAACACTGGTGATCAGGATCCTCACAGAACTGGTTGATTATAGCCACAAATTAGACAAACATGAAGGCGAAACTAATTGAAATGAATGGAATTGCACAGGAAACCAATAGCAATGAAAAGGAAACTGGGACTCAAATCAATGGAGTGGACCAGAAGAAAGCAAATAATGGCCAAACAGAAAAGAGTGAAGAAGCAAGAATTCAAAAAAAATGACGAGAGTCTTAGGAACCTCCAGGACATCTTTAAACGCTCCAACATCTGAATTATTGGGGTACCAGAAGGGGGAAAGGCACAGCCACCAGTGGAAAACTTATTTGAACAAATAATAAAGGAGAATTTCCCCAATCTGGCAAAGGAAATAGACTTCCAGGAAATCCAGGAAGCTCAGAGAGTACCAAAGAAGTTGGACCCAAGAAGAAACACACCAAGGCACATCATAATTACATTAGCCAAGATTAAAATGAAGGAGAGAATCCTAGAAGCAGCAAGAGCTAAGGGGACAGTCACCTACAAAGGAGTCCCCATCAGACTGTCAGCAGATTTCTCAAAAGAGACCTTACAGGCAAGAAGGGGCTGGAAAGAGGTATTCCAAGTCATGAAGTCTAAAGACCTACAACCAAGATTGCTCTATCCAGCAAAACTTTCATTTAGAATGGAAGGACAGATAAGGTGCTTCTCAGATAAGATCAAATTCAAGGAGTTCATCATCACCAAGCCCTTATTATATGAAATGTTAAAGGGACTTACCTAAGAAAAAGAAGTTAAAAAAAAAAAAACATGAACAGTGAAAAGACAACAAACTCACAGTTATTAACAACCACACCTAAAACAAAAGCAAACTAAAAGGACAGCTAGATCAGGAGTGGAAACATAGAAATGAAGATCTCAAGGAGGGTTAGCAATAGGGGAGTGGGAGGAGGAGAAGGGGGGAGAAGGTACAGAAAATAAGTAGCATAGACAGTAGATAGAAAATAGATGGGGGGGCAAGAATAGTATGGGAAATATAGAATCTAAAGAACTTGAGACACATGGTCATAAACTGAAGGGGGGAATAGAACAACTGTAACAGCATAATC